GCCTAGCAGCTAAAGTCCTTGCCTTGAATGCACCAGGATCCCATATGGGCGCAGGTTCTAATGCTAGCAGCTCCACTTCCCATCCAGCTCCCTGCTTGTGGCCTGGGAAAGCAGTCGAGGATGGTCCAAAACCTTGGTTTCCTGCGCCTGCGTGGGAGACTTGGAAAGAAGTTCCTGGCTCCTGGCCTCGGATCAGCACAGCACTGGCTGTTGCGGTCACTTGGGGAGTAAATCATTGGATGGAAGATCTTCCTCTCTGTCTCTCCTCCTCTCTCTATACCTGACTTTGTAATAAAAATAAAATAAATCTTTAAAAAAGAATGAGAGAAATCAGGTAGACAGTTTTAGTTCTACGTGAACTAAAACTATGGTTGTGGCAGAGCAAATTCAGATGTAAAATATGTTAATGGAGTACATATTAGCAGTACCTGGCAGTGAGCACACCTGTGAGAAAGGTGAGAATCAGAGATATGATATTATATTTCATGAGATGGACACCAGTGGACATGGAAAAATGGAACAAATGAAAGTAAATCACCAGCTGAATAGTGTATAAATTAAACTCTTGTAGATCAAGAAATATTTTACATAGTAATACTAAATAAATGATAGTTGTATAAAAATACCTACAGATTTGATCTGGATATAAGGTGTTAGGATTGATCAATATATTTTATAGCCTTTTGAATAGTCGACAAGATAGAGAAAACATAGAAATAAGAGTTTGAAGAAACATCCTGACAAATTCCAAGCCGCCAAAAACTGTAATTGGAATTTGATGGCATAATCACATTTGTGATAATTCACTAGCATAAATTAAATTATGTGGTAACAATAAATCTGAATAAAATGACTTGACAAAAGACAGGAGTTGCACAACATTTAGTGAATAACTTTTTTAAAACATTTATCTAGAAAAAAAGGAGAAATGGGAGACACTTAGATGAATATTTATAATACACTATCCCCTTTAATATTTCCAATATGTGTTTGCTCATCAGCTGTGGAAGTATTTATTAGACGTCATTCCAGGCCAAAGTACAGCAAATATGATCTACTTCCTTGAGCACTTTCAGTGTTCAGCTGAAAAAGCACATGAGAAGTCAAGTTGGCATAACAAAAAGAAACAATTACAACTATAATTATTTATACAAACTATATATATCAACATGTATATGTGTATATATATATTAATGTGTATATATACGCACACACATTGTTTTCATATGGAGAAATCTAAAGAAAAGCAACCCTAATAATAAAAAGATTTATCCAGCTCAATTCTGTGGTACAAAACTATTCCAGCATTACTTATATTCTAAGTATTCTTAAAAATTGAATTAGTGGCTCTAATATGCATTTAGTGGAAGATATCTACTTCAGAGTATCATTCCCACCCTCAAGATGTCATCTACTTCGTCTTCTATCATCAGATTAAGTTAGATACCTACATACACATTACTCCATGTATCCCTCCTAGGACAGCAGATCTGAATTAGTGTATTAACCAGAAATTTGGAAATCAAGTATGTTTGAAGAAAAGCAGGGTCTGCAAGCAGATGAACGTGACTTGTACGAGGCCCTGCCTTAGAAGATGCCCTTTGCCTAAACTGCCACTTCATTGTTGCTAAAAATGAACACAATCATCCTTGGCTTGATGTTTTACTCTCATTGCACTAAAAACTGCTTTTATAGAAAGGGGTGCTTTCATTGTTAACACTTGTCCCCACAAATTACCTCAACAGTTCTGCATGTAAGAATTGACGAGGTATGTAGAGAATCAGAAAATATTAAACTATTAATTAGTTTTGTAAACTTTACAGCATAGGTTTGGTCTACCAGTTTAGGAAATGTAAGTTAAAACATGGAATTAGCTAGATTTATTATGACAACTGATTTTTTTGGTATTCTATATATATATTTTATTACTGCAGACAGAAAATAAGAAAAAGGCACAGTATTGGGCTTTCAAATGTTCTTGTCCATAGAGTGAAAAAAAAATATTAGTCATACAAAGAAAAATAGTTTCCTTTTTAAATGCCATGATGTTTTGCATAAATATTATATCATCTTGGGCCCATTGTGCTTTTAGTAAATATTAATGAGTTTTCAATATGCTACTCTTAAAAGGTACTCAACACATATTTGATAGCTGCGTGTGATAAAATTAGGGATATGGTAACAAAATAAATAATTTAGAGTAATCCTAAATTTAACAATAACAAAATGAAAATGAATGATGACTTGGTTTAAAAAGTGAATTCTTGAAATTCAAACTTCCTTCATATGAGAAAAATCATTACGAAGAATTATTCAACTTTTGGGAAAGCATTTTGTACAGGTGGGCAGGAGCTAACACCTAGGTGGAGTGGCTGAGGGCTTCTCTCTAAGGATGGAATTAACAGTGCATTGCTGTTAGGCCCCACCTTCAGGACAAAGGGTTGGGGACACAGCCAAATTCCATTTGCCCACTGTCAAGGGGGGCTGGTTATCACTGAGTGCACCCCATAACAAAATTAACTTTTCATTCCCTTGAATTCCGAAAGAGTATGCCTAATTTCAACTACCCTACTAGAAATTAGAGATCAAATACCCAATCTGCTCTATTTTTGTGGCAAGATCACCTTTAAAATGTGTCTTCTTGGCTCACCAAATAGAAAAGGAGGCTGGAGGCTCATACAGAATGGATCTTTGAGTGTCCATCTGGCACATTTCATGACCAGTCCTTTACATTGTATTGGCTAGAACTGAATCACATGATTACATATAATCACAAGAATGATTGTGTCAGTGGGCCCAACAGGAAAAAGAAACAGGTTTAGAATAGACAGAAGGTTAGATAGATAGACTGATAGGTCAGTAAAGCATACAAACACACACACATAGATCTATATGCACATATATATGTATATGTACAGTGAGAGATGAACTTAGAGCACAGCGAATAAAGCTCAGTTGAAAGTTATTTGGAGGAATGTATTATAAGGAAAACTCATATAATGAGTTACTTCATACAAGTAGTTAAAGAATATTATGTTTGCTATTAAATTGGAACAAAAACATTGCCTTTGTAAGTTTAAACCAGTATATGCTGTGTGTTGACTAGGCTCATAACGCGAAATAATGGAAATATGAAGGATGACTTTCTGGCTGGTAGACTTTAATGTCACCTGAAAAAAATTGATCTATTCACAAATTCAGTAATAAAACAATTCACACTATTAGATATTGTATCAGAGTCATAAGGACAAATATGTTGGAATTGGTAATATATATAAACTTGTCTAGGTGATAGATAGCTTTAACCAATGAACATCAAATACTCTGAATATATTTTTAAAAATCATTGCTATCAGGATATCTAAACTTGATATTATTCAGCTTTTGAATCATGTGTGCATTCTGATTTACTGCACAAGGAAAACTATGATTGTGTGTGTGTGTGTGTTTAGTTATATTGATATGGAGAGAACTTGTGTATTATACAGCTTTAATGTTGCCCTGCAATTTTGGTAGTAACTTTTCTAAGAAGTCAACAATGACCTGTGATTGTGATTCAGAAGAAAATTGCTGACCAGAAATACACAAATATTTAGGGGAGCTATGGATTAGCTTTGTTTTCTATTCTGGTCTCTACAATGATTTCATGTACACATTTGAAGTCTTCCCATAGTTTAATGCTTATATTAGAGTGGAGATTAATCGTCTTACTATTTTAAACTGGAGAATCATATTCCATTTTTCCTTGATATTTCCACAGTTACATATAGCTTGTATTTTTTTTAAAGACTATCTTGTTTATTTGAAAGGCAGCATTTCAGAAAGAAGGAAAAAGAGGTAAAGAGAATGTACTAACTTTCAACCACTTGTTCACTCACCCAATACTCCCCCAAACGGCCACAAGGGCCAGTTCGGGGCCAAGCAGAGGCTGGGAACCAGCAGCTTTTCCATGTCTGCTCTGAAAGCGTAGCGGCTCAAGAACTTCGACAGCTCTTCTGCAGCATTTCCAGGTGTATTAGCACGGAGCAGGATTGAAAGTCAAGCAGTCAAATCTTGACCCAAAGCCCATATGGGATGGCTGCATCATGTTGTATATTTAAAACAGTTACCTAACATAAGGAATCTCCTGACTTTTGTAAAACCTTCAGCCGTAAGTTAAAAATACCCACTCCCCCCAAAAATACTTCAAATAAAAAATATCCAGAATAACATATAAGTTAACTGTGCATGCAATACTGGACAAATATCATGCCAATAAAATAAATTTTCATTATACCTTTAGTGTTAGGAAATAGTCCTATATTCATATTTATGTCATTGTTAAATTGCATTCCCTTAAAAATAAAAATGCTTCAAGTATTAAAACTAACTTAAACTCTAAGTATTGCAGAGAATCCCTTGCCCAATTGTATTTTTTAAAATCCATAAATCCCAATTATTGTTCCTATGATCGTAAAGCTGTCTCATTAAGTACAAATTATTGTATAAGAATATACCATTAAGAATATATTATTGTATAAGAAATAGGGTACTCCTGTTGTTTAAATAAAGTGCATTTTTAAGCTAATCAAAATTTAGTAATTTGAAAAATCTCAAGAAAATATGTTTCAAATATTAGTTGTCAATGTTGCATTTTATATTAGCTTGCAATTAACTTTTTGTGCAGAAAATTTTGTAACTATACTTTTTATACACACATTTACTATATTGTACAATATAAATCCATCATTTAAAAATCCTTAAAATGACTATAAAGTGGTATTGTAAAGAAAAAAAAAACTTAAATAAGAATTACTTAAAGAATTCAGTTGAACATATCCTGAATTTAAGTGATTTATTTTAAATTTAAGTTTTATTGTATATATTTCAAATTAAACATAAATTATTGTTGATTTGAGCTATCAAATAGTATTATAAAATACAAATAGACCTCAAAACAAAAAAATCTGTCTCTGGAAGAATTTCTAGCTTCACTTTATTGTGGCAATTATCATTTGCAGACTTCTTCTACTGTACTACTTCGTGGTGATGAAAAGAGCGGAGTTACCTGTTTACCTCCCATTTCTCAAAGAACAGATGTGTTTTTTACACTAAGGGATATAATACGCCCTTCTGAAACTTCAGTCAGTAGTTTTCCATCTATAAAACCTACAGGAATCTGGACCATATTTGATACTTATCCAGTCGATCAAGGTAAGTTGAAGCTACTGAGATGCAAAGAAGTATGAGTTTAAAAATGTTGTGTAATGGGCCTGGTACAGTAATCTTGTGGCTAAACCCTTGCTTTGTAACTCCTGGGATCCCATATCAGTGCCATTTTGAGCCCCAGCTTCTCCATTTCCATCCAGCTCCCTGCTTGTGATAAAATGGCCCAAAGTCTTTGGACCCTGCACCCATGTGGGAGACCAGGAAGAAGCTCCTGGCTCCTGGCTTCAGATCGGCTCAGCTCCGGCTGTTAAAACCATTTGGAGAATGACCAAGCAGACGGAAGATCTTCATTTTCTAAAAACTGGCTTTCAGGGCTATTATGTTGTCCTACTACAAGAGTATGAACACCCTTTAACAGTTAATATCCTAAGTAGAAAATAGTGAATAAACAGCCATTAAAGACTTTGTTATAGTGGACAAACTGGTAGAAAATTAGACTTTAACACTTGTTTTTTCCTCAACTGGTCATAAATCTAACTTTTAAAAGACCTTGCACTACTTTCCTATGCCTGTATTTAATGTTCTTTAAATTATTATGTGTAAATTAATAGTCTTATGAATTTATTTCTATGTAACTCAGAAAAAAAAAGGTAATTTCCTATTCTGAATTGTCTTGACAACTTGGGGCTATTTGGGTACTCTTCGTTAGTTAATTCAATAGATGTCATAAATAGTATATTGCATGATGCACTTCAAATTCACTCTTCTTATGCAGTCAGTGGCACTCAGGATAATCTCAGTGAGCATTGTAGCCCATAAAGGCTTCCAGAGCCCATCTCCCTCCAACTTCTGCACCTGCATTCCTCTTGCATTGTCATCCACAAGGACCTCCTCGGAGCCAACTGGGTGCCTGAGTCATGTTCTTGAATCTGGGACTGTACATGAATAGACATCTTTTCTTTGTAATTTTAAAAAAATGTATTCATAAAGAAAAATATCTTAATGGCTATCAGATGTTAAAACCAGAAATGCAACTCACTCTAATTTTGTCTATATTACCTCTGTTCCTTAAACTGAGATACAATGTTGATATAAGTGGCATTTTACCTTTAATTAAAAATAATGTTTTTACTATTTCTAATGCAGTAGTTCAGATATTTACGGATTCTATCCATGACAATGGATTGTAATTTTTTGCATTTTCGAATTCAAAGTAGCCATAAGTTGTGTCTATATAGACAAGGTGAATGCCAATTGTTCTGGCTTGGGCTCTCCCATGCAGGAGATTTGCATTTATGTACTTGGTATGAGGCCACTAAAGTTTCTCATACACTTTCATTAGATTTGAGTAGAAATCTAATGAATTGAGTATTGGCTTGTTTTTTGAAACCAATTTACTTGGAAAACTGATTGCCTTCAAAGAGCTTTCAGCAAAACACAGTTGTTGCTTTTTTCTTTCACAGCTGTTTCCTCTTCTCCATTTCTGAATTTTGGTGTTCATGAAGAAGCACCAATTGTTCAGAGTGAAACATCAGGATCGCATAGGCCCATCCCAACTTCGGCAGCCATGGCAGCGTTTGTTTTTCCCGAGAGGGGAAGTACGACACCGTCTATCATCTCTTCTTTAATGACAGATTTTATTTTTCCTACACAGTCTTTTCTACTTGAAAAACATCTGACTACCGCCTTCTCTGCTATCACAATGAATTCAGTAATTAGTGACATTCCTGCGGCTGATACTGAGTTAAACAGATACTCATTACTCTCCCGCGGATTCCTGCTCACCACTCCTGCCACAAGTGCACCTCCAATTGTCTCTCGGGGAGCTCAAGAGGGTATTGAAAAATATTCAGCTGTTTCTTTAATTTCAAGAATACAGCACTGGAGACTGCTGAGCTCCTCAAATGCTGCCATTCTTCCTGGTACAATAATTACATCCAAACAGGTAGCCATTTTAAGCTCATCAACTCTGCACCAATTCAGTTCACAAGCCCATGAACATCTCCATATTACTGAAGCATCTAGCGACCAGAGACTCACAAACATCAAATCACAGGCTGCTGATTCCTTAAGCGAATTCAGGCAAACATGTGCAACATGTTCTATGACTGAGACAAAATCCTCGTATGAATTCTCAGATCAAGTTTTGCATAGAAAACAGCCTCCGTTTTATGAGACATTCTGGATGAACTCAGCAATATTAGCCAGCTGGTATACACAAATGGGAACTCAAACTATCACTTCTGGGCATTCATTTTCTTCTCCTATCAAAATAACACCATCAGTGGCACTCACAGAACTGTCATTTTTATTTCCTTCCAAAAAGAGTGCAAAACGAACAGCTTTATCCACATCCGTAGAAGAAGTCATTACCCTATCAGGCAATTTGGATGTTAATTTATGCTCATATAAGACATGTTTATCCATTGTCCCTTCACAAACTGTGTCCTCAGACTTTATGAATTCTGATTTGACTTCCAAACTAACTGCTTATGATCTCTCAGTATCAGAACACATTATAAAACTATTGGAAACAAGACAATATGCTGCAGCAACGGGCCTCACTGAGATAGTGGATGAAAACAATTCATTGGATTTAGAAGAGGGTAGATTGTCTCATGAACTTTTCAAGCATCACACAACTGAGAGTTCTTCAGATTTTGAATTGAACTTACAAACCAATTCAGATGTAATTTTAAAGATCAATTCAGAAACTGTTTATTTAAAGGACTTCAAGACTGATCTGTTAGTGCATACAGAATTGGTATCTGAGGTTGCACATGTGTTCTCTGATGTTGTGTTTTATGCAACTTCAGCAACTCGGCCCCTCCCAGTACAGACCTCTTTGCCCATGTCTGTAATTCAGCTCAATAGACCATCTTATGTGGATTATCCAACCTTCACATCGGATTTAACAGAAGAGAGCAAGACTTCTGCAGAATGGTCCAGGTGGGAACTGCAGCCTAGCATGCATAATCAGCGTTCCCTTGTGGCATACCAGAGTCTTCCTAAAACCAGGTCTCTTACTTTGCCTTCACTGGAGTCCATTACAGCACCTCCCCAGCTGATTGTTTCTGGTGAGTTTCTCAGTTTCTATGCTTTAAACTTTAAGAAATGAGTTTTCTTTTTCCACAGAGAGAAAAGAATCTGTCATGGTCACCAGGTGCTCTAAACAGCCTCATTGTAATCAGGGCAGCCACCAGTTCAATGGAGATGGCACCTGCTGTTGTACCTGACACAGATGGTTATTCTTTATGCACTGCCACAAAGGCTACCAGATCAATGCAGCAGTATGTTGGAGGTGGCTGTACTGCTGGCAAGCAATCAGAAACTGAACTAGTTCAATTCATTACAACAGAAACTTCAAAGTGTAGGGATAACTTTTATTATTCTCATTTCTTGAAATAGCTTCTTTGTCGTGTTGGATACAATATAACCTTACCTCTCTAACATCTTCAGTGCTGGCATTTTTTTTATGGGAATTGTGAAGAAATCAAGGATACTATGAGGTTTCCCTATCGTATATGGCATGACATATCATTTCTTAAAATTTAAAACTGTAAATTTGAAAGCAGAGTCTTAGTTGAACAAGCAGAGAGCATGTTTTCTCTGATAACGTTTCTACTCTTAAGCACTTTTCAAGTCACTAATCCTGCCTTCCTTTATAATCATTATCAAATTCATTAGGCTCAAAAACAGTAAAGAATTGCATTTAATAGTAAGATAGAGTATTTTTTTAATTATCGAGTCTTATTTTAGGGAGTTGAAAGTGTTACCTTAGAGAATTAGAAGGTAGTAAATCTAATGAAAAATTTATGGTTTCAGAGAGAACTGTATAGATATTTTTGCATATTATATGTAGTTGAATATTTTTGCTTCAGAGTAAATAAAGCATTTAGATATGTAGCATGTGGCTGACAATTTAGTATTATGAAAACCAAATTGTTGCATTAATATTTCTAATACAGTAGGCTTTTTCTTCAAAAGTTCCTACAGCTATTATAGTCATTCTCATTACATTTTTAAATGATATAGCCTCTGGTATTTTCCCAAGTGGATATAGCTTGCAGTTTAATTGCTGTGTCTCATAAATAATTCTTAATATTTCACTTGCTACATTCAAGGTTGTTGCTATATACAGCTAAGTTAAAACTTCTTTAATCAAAATTGTCACATAGTAATCCTTAGAAAACTACAGGTGCAGGCAGAAATATTTGCTCTAATGCTTGAGAAGCCAGTTAAGGGGCTGGCACTGTGGCATAACAGGTTAAGTTGTTGCCTGTAACATTGGTATTCTAGATAAGTGCTACTTAGTGTTCCAGTTGCTTCATATCTAGTTCATCGCCCTGTTAATTGCCTGGAGAAAGCAGCAGAAGATACCCCAAATGTTTGGGTCCCTACACTCTATACAGGAGACGTGGAAGAAGCTGCTTGCTCCTGGCTCCAGCCTAAATCAGCCCTGAGATTGCAGCCATCTGGGAAGTGAACCAGTGAATGGAAAATTCCCTCTTTTCTCTCTATGTTTCTCTCTCTCTCTCTCCCTCTCTCTCTCTCTCTTTCTCTCTCTCTCTCCCCTTCCTTCCTTCCCTCCCTCCATCCCTGTAACTCCGACTTTCAACTAAGCAATGAACCATTTTAAAACATTTTACTTCAGATGCCCATATGGCATATATGAGTGCTTGAGTCTGATGCCCAAGACCTGCCTCCAGTTGCTGAAATCAGATTCCTGCCAATGTAGTTCTTGTGAGCCAGGCAGAGGTACACATGTAATCACATGTAATTCAATTCCTGTCACTCAAAGGGAGAGCTTGCTCGTGTTTCTAGATCCAAGCTTTGATCTTGTCCCAGACCTGTATATTGTGGGCATTTGAGGAATGAAACCAAAAATAGGATCTCTCTCTCTCTTTCTTTCTCTATGCCTCTCTCCCTTCCTATTCCTCTTTCCTTCCTCTCACCCTTCTCAAATGACCCAAAATTCTCCAATAAGATCAGGACACATATTCTCTATTACCAGGAAATCAAACTTATAATGTGCCTTTTATAATCTTGGTAAATACATTTTTATTAACCCCTCCATCTAATTTTACATATCAAATCATTTTAGACATGATAATGTTTAGTCATTTCTTAGATTTTTACTGGTGTTACCAAATATCCTCATTCACTGTATTGCTCAGGATCACTTCAGAGAGCAGATAACACACACTTCTTTGGAAGACGAGGGATATGTTTTATGGGAGTATCATTCACAAAGTTGTGGTCAAACTAATTCTCTTAATACCTACCTATTTGTATAAGTACGCCTGGCTTATTCTGTGATATTTCTTCTGTAAGTACAGTGTAACCATGGTGCTGTTATTTAAATCTTGCTATAATCAGGTTTAAATGTAATTAGAATGAGAGATATTTCCAAGGCATGGTGGTTGTCATTGTATGCACATAATCAATTGTGTATAACATAAACTAAAACATTTGATTAAATGTTTTAAAATATTTATTTTTTCTTGTGTTTGAAAGGCAGATTTATAAAGAGAAAGAAAGTCAGAGAGGGAAAGATCTATGTCTATTTACTTCTTAAATGGCCACAAGAGCTGGAACTGAGCTGATCCGAAGCCAGGAGCCAGGAGCTTCTTCCTGTTGTCCCATGAAGGTGCAGGGTCCCAAGAACTTGGGGCTTCTTCCACTGCTCACCTAGGCCATCAACAAGGAGCTGGATTAGAGCCACCAAGATATGACCAGTGCCCTGCTGGTGCTTGAAGCGAAGGATTAGCATATTAATCCATGGTGCCAGCCCCTAGTTTATTTTCAATTGATTTCTTAGGAAAGCTTAACTGTAGAGATATATTATTGATGAATAAAGTCACTTTAAAGCTTGAACACTATAGTCATATTTCAGCATCCAGGGATATTGGTTCCAGAACCTCAGGTAGGGGTATCAAAATCTATTTATGCTGAAGGCTCTTCGATAAAACAGGTTAATATTTGCAGATAACTTACTTACTTTATATCACCTCCACATTATATATAATACCTAATACATTATAAATTCTACGCAAATCATTTATGCAATATTTGGTTTGGAAATAATTATAAAGAAAGTTGTCTTTACCCTGTTGTTTTTTAGACAAAAAAAATTCTAGGTGCTTTTTTAAAATTTCTTTTTCTAATAACTGGTGAAAATAGTAGTGTCATATTTCTTAAGAAAAATAATATCAAACTGCTAAAACATATTCCTTTTTTCTCCTAAACTTCATTTACTTTCATGTTAAAATAGGCCAGACTGATCAAGTTAAAAGACAGCTAAGACAACTTGAATTTAATTTAGGGGAGCTGTCACTGTGCTTCAGAGTCTGCAATAAGGCACTTCAAAGGGTGCTGAAAATTCAAAGAGCTGTGTTTCTAGCTGTGATTCTATGTTGTCTAACTTGTGATAGATCATGTGGCATGTCATTTTTTTCTCATTATCCCAATGTAAATTGAGGAATTCTCCACAGCAAGAGAATGCAGAGTTACATGCTTGCTGCCTCTTGTAGTTTTCTGATATGTGAGGACCATGTAAAGAGCAAATGACAACCCGCAATGGTCTACTTTAGACGCACACAAGAAATTCTTTCAGTTATACACTTGCTGCATATTCTATCAGAGTCATGGAAGCTACCTAAACCTTTAGAACTATGGAGCAGTCTACTATGCCCTAAAAACCTGTCTTCTATATGAAGACATTAGGCAAGTCCTTTTGAATATCATTTCCTATTGTATGTATTAATGATTTGAACAAATGTTATAATAGCAGTGGATTATGGAAATAGTACAAAAATGGATGTTGCCTATCAATTGCATTTTTCTCTTCTAAATTGTAACATTCTGCTTAAAAAAAAAAAAACAGCACAGTGTTAGCAACGTTCTGATGAGTAAAAGTCATTTTCTCCAGGAATCGAAGGAAGAGTCGGTGTAAGATATTTAATAGTCATCTAATCAATCATTTTGACTTTGACATTCGTCTCATAGTTTGCTAAGACTGCTCCTTTTTCTTTTTTTTTTGTTACAATCTGCTTGGACTATGTGAAATTAATTGCACTGACTACTGACCCAGTGATCAGTATTTTGCTGACCCATTGAGAATTTTGCTGCTTTTACCGAGACAAATTGTGTTGGTAGAAACTCAGAACATATGAATAGTGAAATTAAATGCAAAATCTTGGCTTTTTTCTGTACTTCTCTCAGTATTTTCCTCACAGGAAAATGCTCCATGTTTTCCTTGTTGTGCTACTTTGTGATATTCAAGCGCGTTCGTTGAGTGTCTTATCATTTCCAGTAGTCACTGAATTGAGTGGTATTGTTGATACTCTACATAAAATATTTTAGAATGAATATGATGGTTTAATAATATAAACTTTTCATATACATAATATTCTGAATGCTCATCCCAACAGTACGTGACTTTCAAGAAATTAAAAACCTATCCTAAGGATTGCCAAACTAGTGCCTGCAGGTCAAATCTGAACCAACACCTGCTGAGTTTTAAGAGAACGTAGCTCTATCCATTTGTTTATATTTTGTCTGAGGCTGATTTGAGGCTATGATAATAAGGTTGAATAGGTACCGCAAAGACCTGTGCTTAACAAAGCCTAAAATATTTACCATCTAATCTTTTATGGAAAAAAAAAAACTATGCCTCCATCTAAAATATCTAAACATGTGAACTTTTATGACTCTAACTTGCATATATTTTACTTTATTGGTTGATGTGTCCCTATCAGCCATCAATGCAATCAATAAGGGTCAGAATTCACACCTAATGAATGCTTTTATGAAATCACATGTCCAAGTACCCTGACTCTGAACCACTCTATACAGAGCATATGTGAAGTCAGAGAAAATGATACATTCATTATCTGCCCATTGTGAGGGTCTCACACGTATGATAAGAACTAGCTTCAAAGATGTGTACCTTTGTCTTCAGAAGAATGACACACTTGACAAATAATGGTTGTCAGGGTTCATGTGGATTTGAAGGAAGTACAAGTTGAAATGCTACAAAACTATCCTCCACAAAAAAATTGTTAGAATGTGCATG